AAATTCCTCAGTCTTGTTATTTCTTTTTTTTTTTTTTTTTTTCCTTTTTGTCTTTTTTCGTGACCGGTAACGGGATTGCAACCCTCAGTGTCGCGCCCGTACGGCAACCGGCAATGGGATCGCACCCCTCGGTGTCACGCCCGCACCGCGCTCAACCAGTGAGCGGACCAGTCTCTATATGGGATCCAAACCCTTGGTGGGAGCGCCACCACGCTCCCAAGCGCCGCACTCTACCGAGTGCGCCACCGGGCCGGCCCAGTCTTGTTATTTCTTGACCTTTCGATTTTTGAAGAATATCAATCAGTTGTTTTGTAAAATTGCCCCCACTTTTGATTTAACTGATATTTCCTCATGATTAGATTATGAATTTTTGGCAGGAAAATCACAGAAATGGTATTCTGTTCTTCATATGTGGAGGCACATGATGTCAGTTTATCTCCATATTATGATAAATTTGACCATTTGGTTAATGTCTGCAAGGTTTCTCCTGTAGTGTTGTTATTTTTCTTTTTGTAATTAACAAGTAATCTGCGGAATGATACTTTACTTAAGTATCTTGTTTCTCATCAAACTTTCCCTCCTGGGGCCAACCCCGTGGCTCACTCGGGAGAGTGCGGCGCTGGGAGCACTGAGGCAGCGGGTTCGGATCCTATATAGGGATGGCCAGTGCGCTCACTGGCTGAGCACGGTGCGGGCGACACCAAGCCAAGGGTTACGATCCCTTTACCGATCACAAAAAAAAAAAAAAAAACTTTCCCTCCTGAGTTTTAGCATCCATTGGTGATTTTCTAACTCCATCATTCTTTCTATATTTATTAGTTCTCTACTGTAAGGAAGAGATTTCCTTTTTTCCTCATTTATTCAGTCGTTTATATTCAAGTGGAATCATTGATCCTTTTATTTAACTCATTTCATTCAATGAGTTATGATCTATTATATGATAGGATCTTTAACCTAATTTTGGCTTCTTGCAGTGTATGTTTGGGTCATGTAGCATTTCTCTGCCTTCAGCACTGCTCTGTTTTTAGGCAAGCCATCTGACATACCTTTGTTACCAGTCTATTACACTCTAAAAGTTTCTCCACAAAATAGTCTCCCCAGACTAAAGTTTACCTGATCAATTTCCTTACAGGCTTGATCTAGTCCTATATTAGTCACTGTTTCCCTCTGTTGTTATTTATTTATGTAATATATGCAAAATAATCTTGTGTCTCCATGTGTTTTGTATTAGCTCACATATTACAGATTAAGGGAATCTTGCTTCGGTGGTTTTAAAATAGATCAGGTGCTTTAGAGATTAGAAGTTCCTCTGTCAATAAACAGCAAACTTGTAAACACAGCTGCCTCAGGAATCCAGAATTCTGAATTTGATCATCTTCAGGTTTAATAAAAGAAACTTTGCTTTGGCAAAGATGGTAAAAAAGGTAAAAAGTGGAGACCAGTCACTTTTTCCTTTCTTCCCCAAATTTAGATAGGAATCAGCAATGTAACAGCAGGAAAGACCAATCCATCAGAAGTAGGATCCCTACCAAAGCCTTAGGGTATTGTATCTAAGAGTTCAGTTATTCAGCAAGTATCTATTAAGGGTCTATTATGTGCCTGGATCTGGGGTATGCAGTGGGCATACAGTAGGTGCCAAGCAGAGTCTCTGCCCTCAAGAAACTAGCATTCTAGTGGGACAGACAGACAAATAAATATGGAAATGTATCAGCTGGTGCTAAATACTATGGAAAAAAATAAAGCCAGGTAAGGGAGATAGATATTCATGGGAGAGGTGCTTTTTTACATTGAGCAGTTAGGAAAGAGAAATGAGATGAAAATATTTGAAGGAAACGGGGGCATGGGTGGGTAGAGAGCCTCACAGTTTGAAGGAGCAGCAAATACCAGGGCTGCAAAATGGGAGAGTGCTCCGTGGTCCTGAGGGCAAGACTAGGGGCGTTGCTGTTTACAGATCAGGGAGATGAAGAATCAGCAAAGCAGAAGTCCTCGGTGAAGGTAGGACAATAAAGAGAGAGGTGCTTGGATGCCAGGTAAAGAAGCTGTTTCAAGGAGGAGGCAGTGGTAACTAAGTCAAATTTTGCTGTAAAATAAGATGAGAAACTATCAAATTTGGGAGATCCTGATTAGCAGTTTCAGTGGAGTTGTCAGGACAAAATCCTGATTGGAATAGGTTCCAGAGAAAACACTGGTCCGGATAATTCTTTGGAGGATTTTGCTCTCAAGGGGAGCTAAAAAATTGAATGGGATCTAAAGAGTAGTGTCGGACCAGTGAAGGGGTTTCTAAAGATAGTGTATGTTAGTAGGCTGATGGGATTTGTACAATACATGGGAAACTGTTGATGCAGAAGAGAGGGGAGAGTAGCAGGGGCAGTATCTTGAGTGCATGAGCAGGGTTGTGATGGAGCGTGCAAGTGGAGAGAATAATTGAGCTAGGAGCAGGAGAGTCATCCACAATGTCAAAAGGGAAGAGTGTGTCGTGGAGTTAGGTACAGTTGGACAAAAGAGAAGCACATAAAAGAACCATGTGGGCCTGCAGGACATCAGCTTCCTTTTCTTGCTTTTGCTTTGAGTCCTCTCCTTGCTTCTGGCATGTGTGGATTTCCATTTCTTTGACTTTTCCCTTTTTTTTTTTTTTTTTAAAGATTAACATTCCTAGGGCCGGCCCAGTGGCGCACTGCTACAGTGCGCCGCTTGGGAGTGCGGCGGCATTCCCGCCGAGGGTTCGGATCCCACATACAGACCGGTTCCCGCTCACTGGCTGAGCGAGGGGCGGGCACAGCTCCGAGGGTTGCGGTCCGTTGCCGGACCGGAAGAAAAAAAAAAAAAAAAAAAAAAAAAAAAAAAAAA